TCCTGATATGCAACATTGTGTAGCTCTATGCTTCATTTTCAAACTATGTGAGTTTGAGCATTATTTTAAATTTGGTTTCAGAGGGGCTGCAAATGAAACCCATTTGAATCTGCCAAGTTTCATCAAGTATTGTGTCAAGCTTACAAATTTTGCATGATTTTGATGCATAATCATAAATCAGCCCAGGTGTGCTGAAAATGTCCCTAAGTTTTAGCATACTTGTTGATGAACTTGGTCTGACATTCGAGTTTGTAAGAAAATACAGCAGTGGGGAACTTTGCAGTGTTTAATTGTTGATGTTACCATACAGCTCTTGCAGTAGTGTAGACTAGGGACATACGTGACCTGTCATTAAATGGTAATGCATCTACTGACAGTTCAATGTTTGGAGTGTGCTGCCTTTTTCCCTAAAGATTCTGTGAAAAAATAACTCGGAGTATAAAGTTTTCCCAAAGTTGAGAAACATTTCACCAGGGAATGTTTATTAATTTTAAAAACTTTTTTCCCAGCTGTATGAATCAGTGCTAAACATATAATTGATTTATTTTTTTGAGTGTTAAAAAAATATGTTTCCAATAAAGGGAGATTTCTGGCAACAGAAATACTTCTGGAGCTGAATTACAGTGTTATTTGCTTGCATGTGTGCTGTTCAGACTAGTGTGTGCTAGTTTTCCAGCATGTCCTTATAGCTCCAAATGGGGTAGTATACCTTAACATACATTAATCCAGAGGAAATAGAGTAAATCAAATAAGTTAGGAAGGCATACTTCTGCTGACCAGTTTTTTTCCAGTTAAAGAAAAGATTCGAAAGTTAGAGTGAAATCCTTTTTTGAGCTATTGAAATCCCTTTTTGAGCTATTGAGGCACAAAATAATCTAGACCACTTTAAAGAGCAGACCCTGCTTTCTCTTCTCATGCTCTTGCAGTTCAGAGGTTGCTTTACTGACATTATACAGACTGTATCTGTAGTCTTCCCAATATGTAATGATTAGAAGTGAAGACCACCCTCCTAAAGGAGAACTTCAAGGAGGAGTTAACTCTTTTACGATAGGATTTTAAAATATCCTTTCCAGAATGTTGCAGAAGTGGTGAAGTATGAGTGTGTGACGTTATTCAATAGCTGCTGAAGTGTGCTCAGAAGAACGTGTTATTGTAGGTTGCAAGGTGCGGTCAGTAGGTGTGAGATTCTGAACGCCTTTATTAGAATTAATCAGTAGTTTACAAAGGGGAGATGAAATTAAAGGTCTGAAAACAAATACTGTTTACTGATGACTTACTGAAGGAGAGGCAGAATGCTATAGTATAATCAAGCGAACAGTATTGCAGGCAGCTGAGGTTTTGGTTTAGCGGGAGCAATCGGCATTTGTGAGCTGCTACTTGTGATCTGACTGGGTACTATGCAGCCAGGTTTTGGCGGTGCTACACTTCGCTGTGGTGTGCTTCCAAGCTCCTCACGTGACTTCAGCCAGCCATGAGTCAGGATGTTTTTCTTCTGTGCTACAATAAAAAGGTTCAGTTAAAGAACAGGGTGGATATTCTTAAGGGCAGGCAGGCAAATTACATTTCTCAGCGTCGCCTACTGCAAGTCAGAGCTTTTAGAGTATTAATGTTTGATGATAAGTAACATCAAGGTAGAGTAGTTGTGAAGAAGGTAAAAATAGACTTCAGTTAGGGAGCGGTTTTATTTCAAACCTCCCTCTAAATCAAACAGAAGAACAACCTCCCGTTACAGTGTACAGCTGTAGTCATTGTACTCCTTTCTTTCTCACTGCTATGAAATAGCTGCAAAGGCTTAACTTAAAACAGACTTGTTAAGCAAGTAAGGAAGTGTAAGAGGACGTGACCTGCTTGTGGTAAATTACATCTGTCCACTCTTTCTTCAAGGATTTCCAGCTGCGTGAAATTTGCTTTACTGTCATGTTCTGTACTGAGAGTGTTTTTACAAATGTATTGCAGAGCAGTTATTGTTTTGAGTTAGTTGCACTTAGCCAGAATTTCTTCTGGGTCCCTACTCGAAGTATGGTTATCAGTGGTTTCTTTTGGTTCTTTCAGTTAGGAACTGGAATCATAAATCATTCACCATAAAGAGACTAGTACCAGCTCAGAGTAAAGTATGTCCCTCCTTGCTTTTCTTTAAAGGGATGTACTAAGAGAAGGAAAGAAAAGATCATAAATTCATGCTGCTGCTGCTTCCCAAATACCATCCGTTTGGTTTGTTCCCTAATGGACCAACAGTGATCTTTTTATATAGACTGTGTGCTCATACTCAGATCTTCGTCTGATGTAAATTGTGGTAGCTTCATTGACTTCAGCAGACCTGAGCTGTTTTACACTGTCTGAGGCTTACCACAGGATGTAATACACTAATATATTTCTGTGCGACACTATAAGTTATGTTAAGTTCTGGAGCTTCTCGTAGTGGGAGGTTCTGGTTAAATGTTTTTATGATTAAAATTGCAATGTCAGATTTGGATGGGTGATAAATGCATTTGGGTGATGGATCTGCGTTCTGGCAGTGTTTGTCGGAGGTTTTTTTGATGGCTTAATCTTCAGCTAGTACAACTGGTCACTCAGTTTCTTTTCTTTTACTCTTCTGAATCTCTTCTCCCTCTGTGTTTCTCTGCCCATTTTCCTTGATTCCTGCTCTTTTGTGTTTTCCCTATCTCTATCTGGTCTTGACAGGATTATCATTGATTGAACACTGAGGGCAGGATGAGGAAGGTATCTTTGATACCTCTTGCATAACTTTATTCTAGCATGATGAGGTCCAAGTGACAGAGAAGGTGATGATGAGTTCTTCCTCAGGGCAGGTTCAGAGGAAGTATGATCATTCACTTTCAGGGCACTCGGGTGGAAGAATTGATAGTCTTTTATAAACTACTTAATTGCTTTTACTTGGCGAAATATGTAAATTTACCAACCAACAAACAAAAAAATAGATTAATAAACCTCAAGAGAGTAAATCAGATTGCCTTAAAAAATCCAAGGAAGGAAACACGAAATAAGAAGGACTCTATTATCTTGTAATGGGTACACCGTGTTAATCTTATCCCAAGAAGTCCTGCAGAGCACTCAGTGTCATATGATGCTGTAGTGATGTGTTTTCTCTAGCGTCATGCATTGCCTTTTTACTGCCCTTCTTTTTCCCAAGGGATAATGAATCCCATTAGGGGAAATTTTTGCTTTTCCTGGTACTTGGCAAGAGCATAGCCCAAGTCAGCTTTGCAGCTTTGGAGGAGAGCCCAACCCAACTTTTGGGATTCTCGAGCTTCTGTTGGGATGTGGGCACACAGTGAATTTCTCTAACACACCAGTTGAGGTAGATGGGTTGCCTTTGGGAAAGCAATACACCTTTCCAATTCACCAGAATTCCCTTTAAATAAAAAAGAAAGCTTAAAATGAAGACAAGTTTTATTCTAGCAAAGAAAGACTCCTCCTTTTTAGGAAAACCTGCAGCTTTGGTTAGTTCTGGAAGCTCATGACAAAACAGGTGAATCTCTGTTTAAGTTTTTCTGGGACTGGGGTTACCTTTTGAAATGCATGGACTCTTTAGCAAGGCATCTCTTACATCAGGCTTACTTTTCTGCCCATAATGTCAGCAGAATTGTAGTTTCCACCAATTTCTTCGTCCTAGACTGCATGACTTGCATTGTGAAACTTTTTTTCTTGCTGCAGAAAAGGTAACAGATTATCATCCCATGCATTATCTGTAAAACATTTTAATTTCCAGCCTGTGGGATGTCACTGGTTAGTCATAGATCTCACATGATGATAATACAAAGAATCGGCTTGCATGCCCACATCCTTTTGGGGTTCAGGCAGATATTCATGGTATGTGAGTGGACTCAGTGCTTTGGTCTACTATGACAGTTTCTCTTCTCTTCCTTTCCACTGCTGTATGTAACATCATGAAGTACAGCCTCCCTTTCCTCAGTTTTCTTACTGCCACACCTTGTAAATAGAACTGAAACTACTTTGTGGAAGGGGGAAAATCAGTTGAACAAGTAATTAAGTTCACAACATGAGAGAAAAGACTAGGGCAGTCCGATCCCCCCTCAGTGTAAGTGGGGGTAACTCCACTGCCACCATTAAAGTTGGCTCTATTGCTGTTGTGAAATCCATGAGGTAGGGGAGGTGTGTCCTGGAAAACAGTGACACTGTAATGCAGCTTTATTTACAGTGCCTTCAGGGTGGCTTGCTTTCTTGATGAACAAGGTTTTGGTTCCGCTGTGTAAAACTCAACTGTTTCTCCTCCAGCCCTGTCCCACAGAGTACTATTTAAATGATGGGGAAGATTTTAAGGAGCGTTTTCACTCTGCAGATGCTCTAACTAGATCTTTGTGTTAATTGCAGTAGGTCAGCAATCACTGCTGACTTTCAGACATCAGTGCTTGATCTCTGAACAGTCAAAGCCATGGAAGGATCCACTTTCATACTTTTTTCTGTCTTGCTTTTTCAACAGTTACATCGCAAACCAGCGAAAATTAGAAAGTATCAATGACAATGAAGTTGGATTTTATGTTGGACTTAAAAATCTGTGAGTATATGGGATGCATATTTTATAAAGTGATTTTTTATTTCTTTTATAGAAGCATATAGAGACCTCATCAGAGTGTAGGCCTAACTTTGTGTGTTGTAGAGGACAGTTGTACAACTTGCAGTTCAGCCGTGTTGAGATTTCATCCACACTCTCATTTTAACCATTATTATCATTATGCTTTCCGTTATATTTTAGATGAAATATTCTAACAGTTTTACGTATTTTCACAGGACCGTGGTGGATTCAGGCTTAAGATTTGTGTCCCGTCAGGCATTTGTGAAAAACGTCAACCTACAATACATGTGAGTAAGGATAGTATCTGCCTTCTAAGTTAAAACTGCCAAACTCATGTTAATTTATTTAATTGTTAATTTATTTCTCTCTTTTACTATTTCCTTCATATAAAATGTTTTAACAAGACAGATTTATAATGGTCTTCTGTCATTAATTGACCCTAAATAAGATATGTATGGTAAGGAAGTGGCAGAACATAGGAACTGGCAGATCATAAGAGCATAACGTGCGATGGTAAAAAGACCGTCCGGTTCATTATCCTGTCTCTAACAATGGACTCTGGCTGTGTCTTTTGTGGTAAGTAGTGTAGCACAAGGAGTGCCTCTCTCTGCTGAGTGAGTTGGTGCTGAGGGTATGATGTCCACACTGTGCATCGCACTCAGTGACATGGGTTTGACTAGCTCTAGTCTGGTTCAATGGGCTGAACATGTTTTAGCAGCTGCAGTGCAGTAGGTGCATGCGTGGAGCACATCTAAAGTAATTTGACCAGTGTGCGTGCCCAGACTGTGGCATGACTTTGAACTTAAGTCCTGTTACTAGGGATCATCTGAAGATTCACTTTGGAAGCTCATTCAAGATCTGAATTAAAGCACCCAAAGCAGAATATAAGAACACGGTTACTGTCACACCCAAATGCAATTTGTGGTTCATGAACTTCAGCAAGCAGAGTTGGTGCCTGTGCAGCTTTTTGGCTGTGGTTTTCTAGATCGCTTACACTTTAGGCTTAGCAAAGGCTGAACTGGTCAAAGTTCTTTCTAAAAGTACAGGGAAAAATGGTCAGCTAAAATGAAAGACTTTGTTGGTCACTGAAGGACTGTAGTGCCTTTTGATGGGACAGACATGGAGCAGTTCGCTTTGCTACTTAGATGGAAAACTGTGGATCTAGTCCTACAAAACATTGAGATCATGTGAGGGGTTCAGTTACTCACAGGTACCCTGTTTTAGCCAAGTATTCAAGTGTGTGTTTCAGTCCATCCGTCTTCGTTAGAGATATTTAGCACTTAACTTAATCCCTTGCTTTTGTTAAAGTCCTAATGAGATCGGGAAGACATAAGGCCAAGCTTTGGGCTTGTAAGATACTTCCTTGTAATATGGAAGAACTGTTGAACTGAGCACAGGCTGATTGCTTTGCTAATGAAACGGAATCACGTTCCACACCTGTGTTTTCCAAAGAATGGCAATTAATTCATGTAAGGAAGTGGACGTGAATGTCCGTATTTGCCTAAACAGTAACTGCTGTCCTTAATGTGGAACAGTCACTGGAGGAGTGTGAACCAGATCTTGTTGGCCTATGAGGCTTACATGTTACTTCATATAGTCATTAATAAAGTAAATAGCTTTTACTATAATCAGTTGGCGATATAAGGGCTGTATCTTCTAGAGTGAATTTGTATGTTTACCTGTGTAACAATTGCTCAGTGAATTATGGTTGTAAAAGATGATGAAATTCCATAAAGCCAAGTGCATATGCACTGGCTGTGGAAATGCGCAATGAGAACTTACTGGCTGAGAGGCACATTTGCAGAGAAAGATTTAGTGGCTGTGCTAGGACAGAATCTCAGCGTAATGTGGCAGAACAAAGCAAATTCAGTGTGGGATCAAAAGGAATTTTGTGTTAGATTTCTGCATCTTTTCCCTGTTACCTTAGCTGGTAATCTATTGGAATACTGTATATAGATGAGGACACTGAATCTACCCGTCTTGAAAGATACTACAGAGAAGAGCAACAGAGCTATAAGGAGCATGTAAAGCAAATAATTTAAGGAGACTGAGAGGCTGAGTATGTTCAGTCCAAGAAAGAGAAGACTGAAAAGGAACATACATCTTCTTATCTTTAAAAGAAGAATAATTATGATGAGAAGAGCAATCAATTCTCTCCATGACCACGAGTACAGAGTGAGAAATAGTGCGTTTAATTTGGAGCGAGGTAAATAGATGTTTGGAAGACCTTCCCAGCTTTATGGGCAAGTAGACCCTGCAAAAGGTAACTGAAACAATTGGTGGGATCCTCTTGATAGGCTTTTTTGCCTGTTTCCTTAGGGAAATGGGGTTCATGCAGTCACAAAGTGTCTTTGTCTCCAGTGGTTGCTTCTAAACAAAACTTACACAAGTAAACAGGTTTTCTGAAAACTGACCATTGGACAGAGCAAGGACACCCTATTAGAGTTCCCACTTAAGGGAAAAGTATCGTTGTGCATATATGACCTGCTAGGCACGACAGAATCCACGTGGACAAGATGTCTTTAAAATACTTCAGCTTCAGGAAGAGCTTCAGCTGGAGCACACAGTCAAATGTGGAATACATATCTGTTGGTAAGCAGGCTTTACTAGATGTGTAGTTCATGAAGCTGCTTGTTAGAAACAAATTAGGCTGACTGACATCTGTTTGGTTGATGTACATGGAATCCTGATCCAGAATACTTACGTTATGAACCAGGAGCTTATCCAGTCTCGTACTGTGTTTTCTTTTGGTGGGGATTTAGTAATGTTAGCAGACACAGGATAAGCCCAGATAAGATGGAAAATATTAAGTGGCACCACCTGCTCTATATGCGCATGACAAAGCAGTAAGTATGCAAACGTTCTTTTGCTGAGGCTGATCTATTATCCCTGCAAAAAATGCATTTGTTTGTTTTCTCTGGGAAGTCTTGATGCACACTAAAATGTTTCTGAAAGCCCCAATGAATCACTGCTTGTTGTCATCAGCAATAAAACTCCTGTTGACTGCACTGGGAATGAAGTGCAGCCCCTGTTGTGGTTGGGACAGTGAAAATTATTAACAGCTGAAATCATTTCACTTTGCAAGAGTAACCTCCAAGTACAGGTCTTTGAGAAGTCTTGCATTTTATTTTGAAACAACAGTTTGTTACTATCCCATAAAGAAAACAAAAACTCCAAACACTTTTCTGAAGACTGATGTAACTGTATAAGCTTTAATTTTGCTAGTGATACTATTACAGTTTTCTTTTTCTTCTATGAAAAATCTTTTGATGTAGTTAAGGAGCTTTATTATATGAACGTAGTATTTATTTTATGAATCATAGAAGAATATCAGATTATAAGGAACTTATTAACACACATTTCCTTAAGCCCTTTTTTGTCATTACCTTATTTTCTTGGCCAAACTTCTGTAGCCCAGCTATCTTTCTGGAGTTATGTACGATGAGAAGATTTGAGTAATAACATAAACAACAGGAAAATAAATGCTCTAATAGGTATTACTTAAATGTAATTGATAGCCTTGCTCATCTAATTCTGGTATTCTCATTGACCTTAGACTCAAATTAGTCAACAGTTGCATTTAACAAGCTATTAAACAGTCCTAGTTTAGTAGTACTGTAATTTATAAGCTGATCTGCTGCTAACAGTAATTTTAACGGACTTGTGTAATACATGTGCATGGTGTACTGTCAATACCTTTATACATAAAAACACATTTCACAGCAAGCATGTATTTCCAAAAACGTTAAAAAATAGCTATTGTTATGTGCCAGGCTGTGTATAATTGCATTGCTGAATCATAGATTTGTGAGTGTAGTATATATACAGCTCTAGGTGTTAAGATGTGTTTGTATCTCTACACTGTTCAGGGTTAGGTAGGGCAGCCAACTGAAACTGTTTGAGACCTTGCTGCAGATTTTCCCTTGCTTGCACACAGGGCTGGCTTCAGCCATAGGCAGAGCAGGCAGTTGCCTGTGGAGGGAGACTGAGCGTAGCAAAATGGCCCTTTCTTCACCTCTTACCCCCAGTTCTCCTTAGAGCTGTTCCCTCCTCTTCCTTCTTGCCTCCCCTTGCTAGGAACGCTATAGGCAGTAGAGCTGTGCCTGTGTTGCTAGCTTTTGTGAATATTTATGCAGCTTCTCAGGCTGCTTTTGTACTCCTCACATTGCCACAGGTTTGCTTTTGGCTGAATTAGGGCTAGCAAGTTTAAAGTGAGCTTGATATTCCTATGTGAAATACGGGCATGCTTTTGACTGAATTTGGGTCCTCTCCTTATGTATAGCTTTGGAGCCAGGCTCTGTACTCCTGACTTTTTTTTTTTTTTAATGAAAAAAGGCTTCAGAACCCCAGATAGATCTTCTTTGGGCTGCTTTGATGATGATCTTTTGTGGGTAGTTGAACTGGGGAACTAATGTATATTCTTTTTCCATAGAAGTGGAAGTGTGGTCCTTAACTACTCCATAATAAGCCTGGCAGTGATTTTTTCACTTAACATGAATTAAAGAGACTGCAGCAGGCATCTCTATAATCAATATACAGTGCTCAGTTTATGAAAAATATATATAACATTAAATTTACTGTCAAAGTACCATTTAAGGTGATAAATCTGTAACAGTGGTCTGAAAAATTTCTGTTGAATTACTTGTCAACTTCAAAAACCTTAAAGTGCTAAACTACATGGCAGAAAAGGCTACAGTCCTGGAAGCACTAAATGTTTCAACCCATGATCAAGAATATAGGCACAGGAATTTTTTAATTAATTTTCTTACTGTTCTTACTTCCTTTTTCTGGTGCATATCAAGCACAACTGGTAAAAATCTGAGAAGACAATTAAAGCTATCAAGGTGCTTTTGGTTTTTCAAAAGTGGAGTTGTTAAAAACAAAATAATGACTCTCTATTCTTTTGATAGTTTTATTAAATTATCAGTCCCATTTTTTCACTGGCTCACATGGAGTCATTGATACCTGCACGAAGTGTTCAGAAAGTAACACATATGGTGACATTTGGGCAGTAAGTCTGGCTCATGAATCTAAACAAGTAAGGGCTATTCTTCTGCCTGAAGGTTTGCAGTAATCCTCCAAAAGCAATGACTGGCCTGAGGCTAAATGAGAAGAAGATACAGCTATGGAGCACCTAATTCTCACAGTCTGCTGTCTGATAGAGTACATAGCTCTGAAGCAGGCAGCTCAGCACCTCACAAAGAGATGGGATGAGTAGAGGACCATGAGCAAGTTGAGCAAGGAAACGTTAAGCAGCCAGGAGGAAATCTTCAGGAAAGATAGGACTTTAGTCCTGCCTGTGAAGTAGTGTCCTGGTTTCAGCTGGGATAGAGTTAATTTTCTTCCTAGTAGCTGGTACAGTGCTGTGGTTTGGATTTAGGATGAGAATAATGTTAGCACACCCATGTTTTAGCTGTTGCTAAGCAGTGCTTACACTAGTCAAGGACTTTTCAGCTTCCCATGCTCTGCTGACTGAGAAGGCTGGAGGTGCACCAGAAGCCGGGAGGGGGCACAGCCAGGACAGCTGACCCAAACTGGCCAAAGGGGTATTCCATACCACGTGACGTCATGCTCAGTACATAAACTGGGGAAAGCTGGCTGGGGTAGGGGGGAGCTGCTGCTCAGGGACTGGCTGGGCATCAGTTGGTGGGTGGTGAGCAATTGCATTGTGCATCACTTGCTTTGTATATTATTATTATTACTACTACTATTATTATTAGGATTTTAATTTTATTTCAATTATTAAACTGTTTTTATCTCAACCCACGAGTTTTCTCACTTTTACTC